AGCTCCTCCAGAGCTACAGACTTCAGTCGGGTTTTCCTGTGAGCAGAAAAGACAGAGGCTGGTTAGAATCAGGTTGCTCTCTATAGCAGACAGAGATTCTCAATGTTAACTGAGGCTCAGGTTCCGCTAACCAAAACTGGTCAGCACTCCGGTGCTGAAGACAGGTCTGGCTGCTGCTTATGTAGGAGGCCTCCTGATGGGCTGATGATCCTCAGGTGTGCAGGAGGCTCCAGCCCAGGAGACCCATAGCGCTCTCTGCTGGAGGCAGGTGACAGATCTCCAGATCCCAACAGTACCCCCCCCTCAATGACCGCCTCCTGGCAGTCCAGAGGAAGTGGACGGAAGGGAGTTCTTGTAGTCCTCTATGAGGGATGGATTCAGGACGAAAGAGCCAGGAACCCAGGTGCGGTCCTCCGGACCGTAGCCCTCCCAGTCGACGAGGTACTGCCAACCGCGACCCCAACGACGGTAGTCCACGATCCGGCGAACGGTGAATGCCGGGTGGCCGTCAATGTCCCGGGCGGGTGGAGGGGAGTCGGACAGAGGGCAAAGTGGACTGGTGAGAACTGGCTTGATCTGGGAGACGTGGAAGGTGGGGTGTATGCAGAGTGGATGGCAAGTGCAGACGGACAGCAGATGGGTTGATGACCTGAGCGATCTTGTACGGACCAATGAATCTAGGAGAGAGTTTCCTTGACATGGATTTCAATGGGATATCTCAAGTCGATAGCCATACCTCTTGCCAAGGGGTATAGTCTGGTGCTGGACGACGTTTAGAATCAGCAGTTCTCTTATTAGAAGCAGAGGTGCGGTGAAGGGCGGTGATAGTTTCGCTCCAAACTCTATGACAATGACGGATGTGATGGTGGATGGACCTGACTGATATCTCTCTCTTGTCTGCAGGAAAAAGTGGTGGTTGGTACCCTAAAGTAACCTGAAAGGAAGACAGACCGTTAGCAGCAGATCTTTGTGTGTTATGAGCATATTCAACCCCTGCCAGAAACTGACTCCAGTCAGTCAGGTTGTTAGACGTGAGGCAACAGAGAGTGGACTCGAACTCTTGATTCATCCTCTCAATTTGACCGTTGGTCTGAGGGTGAAAGCCTGAGGTGAGAGAGGTTTTACAATTGAGAGCCGAACAGAAAGCTTTCCAGACCTGAGAGATGAACTGGGGACCTCGATCAGAAAGTATCTCCTGTGGAATGCCGTGAAGACGGAAGACATGTTTTACCAGGAGCTGAGCGGTCTGGAAAGCTGTAGGTAATTTCCTGAGGGCAACCAAATGACAGGCCTTGGAAAATTGATCAACAATGCTTAATATTGTAGACATACCCCTGGAAACTGAAAGACTGGTAACAAAATCCACTGCGATTTGGGACCATGGACGAGACGGAACAGGCAGAGGACCTAGCAGCCCAGAAGGTGGTTGGTGAGTTGACTTGTTCCTGGCACAGATGGGACAGGCCAGCACGTACTCCTTCACGTCCTTGTGAAGGGACGGCCACCAAAAGCGTCGTGTGATGAGGGCGATGGTTCTACTTACACCAGGGTGAGCAGAGAACTTGGCTGCATGCATCCACTGGATGAGACGAGATCTGACCGAGGAAGGAAC